TTTCCAGAATACTATGAATATGACTAAACTGTTTCATATTCTAAATTTAATGAAATAGGTGATATTTAATAAATAAGACTTACATTAATGTATACATCAGGCTTTATGTAGTAACAAATTATAAAATATATCTGAGGCTAATGACCTTGATGCCGAGACATAAATTATTTTAATTTAAAAATAATAATAGATATTTATTTAATAGCTTAATTAAGCTATTTAGTTTTACCCTCTAGATATGCATATTATTATTTATTAAATGATATATTATTTTCTTTAATTTGCAGCTAAAACAAAGTTGTAAAGCACTTGGTTTATAATTTATACACGTATATACACTAATATATCATAAGGTTAATTGTTAAATACAGTTGAAATCACTTAAATGTCAATGAATTCGTGAACTTTTAAGGATCAAAGTATTTTATTATTCATCACTTCATTTAATAGCTTTAATGGTGGTACTAGATCCCAGAGGTTGACTGCTCCCTAGAATGTACATTTATCAAGGTTAGCTCACTGTAATGGTGGCTAAAGAAAAATCTTATACTAGTTATGTCTAAGGAATATAAAAATCTATAATATAGTTTACTAATAATCAAAATTAAAAAATATATTATTCATTATTAATTTCAGATACCTAATTAGTAATGTTTTCTKTTCACGGTCTTATTCATAAAAATTATGGATAACCTGATAAATTAAGGTATAAACCTAATTTATCAGCTAACCTTTTTTCTCTTCAAATTATGTTTTTGGAACTTATGTATTTTGACGAGTTAAAAACATTGATACAATCAGAGTTTTTGTTCGGACTTGTTAAACTATAAGTTAGGTCACCCAATATATTAACTTAAGTCTAGAGTCCTAAATCTAGAAACCAATTTTAAAGCCAGACTATAATGATCCTTAGGTACCTACGAATTTCAAAAATTCTATTATGTCTTTACATTTACATTTTAAAACAAACAGGGTTATATTTTTGAAGATTGTGACTTGTGAGTTACCTATATAGATTATTTTAATTTTCTTCTCTTTAAATCTACTGAATCTTTCTTGAAAATGATATATACCAAATGATAAAATATGATTTTTCAAAATTGTTTTGATTGGCATAATTTATGTATTATATTATATCTACGACTTATGATTTATTTAATATTGAAATACATAATTTTAGAAATATTTAAAAATTATTTGTAATTTTATTTGATGATAGTAGGTATGCCATTAAATAACATAAAATATGTTACAAAAGGAAATCGTGTGGCAGGTTTGCTATCCCTGGTTTAGGCTCTACATAGAATCAATTTCTTCTCTCCCTAGGTCCTATTTCCACGTTCAAGAGGGAGAGGGTTGATCACAAACTTCCCGATCGAGAGGTCTGTAGGACTACAAGTTGTACAACCAGAGCAAGAAGGCGTAAGGAGCTACTTGTCATATTTTAACTGGCAAGGTTATGTCTTAGATTATTTCAAATATGCAAGGAAATTAAATGAAAAATCAGAACATTTAATAATTTGAAACCAAGTCCAAGCAACAATTCTGATTCTGTCACCATTCTTAACTTGTTCAAATAGAAAGTTCCAAAAAAATAAATWAAAATTTGTGATAGATGTGATAAATATAATGTATATTCGTAAGAAACAAAAAATAACTTAAGTAGGTTACAACTTACTAACTAATGATTTACACAGATTTTTTTATTTTGCATCATCGTTAATATATTTAGATTAGATTAGGGTAAGTTATTTAACAACAATCGAAAAAAATGTAGCCCAAAAAGAAGTATTTTCTCCAAATTTTTAAAGTTAAGTCTATGATAAACAAAATTAAAATGTATAGAACAAGACTTAATGTCAGCATTCTCTGGTTCTAAGAAAATGTGTAGGACTACAAGTTAGAAGAGCTCACATAAAATGTTATCAATATAATTGGATGGTTAAGGCAAGCCCTGACTATCATCCATTGAAACTTATCATTATATACCTACCTAATAACTGTTGTTTTATGAAATAGTAGATAGAATATAACTTGTAAATACCCAGTGGCCAATATGTAATGTCTAATACTGAACACTAGTATGAGCATGGTATATTGTGGTAATGCTTAATTTAAAATAAATTATATAACTAATTGAGAAGCAATACTAACATAAATACCCTCCTAGTTCACCATAACACTTAAAAAAAAGATATATAATTTATAAAATATCAAAACATTGTTTAAAATGATTAAATATCAGATATGTAAATGATAACATAAAACACTTTWAAAATATGTATTGCTAAAGACTTATAAATCACTTAGCTAATGGCCAGATGGCCTAAATACAGAAATTGTATATAGGTTATAGGTAAAGAAAAAGAAAAAGCAAAGACAATTTTAAAGGATTGTGTTGATTAAATGTGTGTTTTATTATAACTTTCAAAATTAATATTCCTTAAAACAATAATTGTAATTATTTTACAAAAATGAACCAAATATTGGCCACCGATGATGTTAATTAAATAACAGAAGGTAAATAATAACAAATTGCAAGTATCAATTAGGTATTATTATGAATGATAAATAACAATACCAGATGTCTAATTACATGACACTGATGTGTATGGATTATATTCTTTTAATATGAGTGCAAAAATGTACATAGATAGATATTTTTACTTAAATTGGTTTTTAAATTAGTTAATTAAATTATTAATAAATATTATAGTCAGAGGATGATTTTGATTAAAAATAAACAATTACCACAAATTTAGCATTGCTGGTTATGTAGTTAACTTATTAATCAAATAAGCATGTTGGCTACAATTTTATCATATTCGACATGCACTATAAATCAAATAGTACCTAAAACCTAGGTATTATTCTGATAATATCATTGTCAAATAAGTATATATAGGTATATCTACCTAGTTTCAAAATTTAACCAGTTAGGTCTAAAATCAGTCAATAAATAACTAAGGATTAAGCCATAAGCTTACTAAGGGCTGTTCTTACAATGTTCGGTTAACTGTTAACAAACACTTAACCGRACATTGTAAGAACCAGCCTAAGTTTGTGTGTGGGTTGACATTTCCACAAATAATGCAATAATATGGTATAGGTAGATACTCATTGTAACTAACTGTATTCTCTTTTATAACTAACTGTAGATCTTTATTGGATCTCTTGTCATTTAAATACAATAACTGTCAATTACATTTCTAATTATTACTTTGAAATCCAATGGAGATGAGAATACATCTATTATTCATATGATTTAATCATAGTCACTAATTCACTATAATTATTATTATGGAGAATAGAGAGAATTTTTACTAAAATATTTATTTAGGTTAAATTATTGACATTTAAACTATATTTTAAATATTAGTTATAATATATAGGTAATAAGTATGTTTTAAATTAACATAACATAACTTATTTTAACAATACATCCAAGTTACGCATAACACATCTCAAATAACAATCTTGTGATTTTACAAATCATAACATTTTAAAAATGTTACTAAATGTTAGAAAACCTGCAACTTCCACATATCATTTATTGTCCTAAAAACTATATTTTGGGTAGGTACTTACTACTTGTCTGTAGTCCTGACTACCATGGGTCTCAATTTTGTTACCTTAACTATCATCCGATGAAGCGACTACTTACAGTTAAAAATTTGATTATCCCTATTACCTGTTGCTTACCACAATGATGTCTACACTTTTAAAAGCTATTTTAGTCTTATTAGTTACACTTATACCTTACTTTGGAGCTCCGCTAATAAGAAGTATTTATATTTCATATTATATAACACCAATACATATATTCTAGTTAAACATCAGTGTTTAAGAGTTAAATGATAAAATATAGATTTAAAAATCAATAAAACAATGTTGTGCTATCGTAAGAAACAGCCCGATAGATAGGTAATGAATAATAATAATCTCGATGATAATATTAGTGACAAGTATACACTCACAGTCCAAATGTTTCTTTTTCGGTCCAATCAGCTCTTCGGTGGTGGCCTTGCACACAGACTTGGCCAGACCTTGTCCAGCCAAACTGTGTCGGGCAGCCAGCAGTCTATCTTGTATTGTTTGACCAGCCATCTCGAACGACCCTTCGCGTATGAGTGCTTCGCGGTTTTCGTTTCTCCTTCTTTATCTGTGTCGTTGGTTTACCGTCAGGCAGACTATCTACCTGGGCGGTTAAGACGAGCGTGATCCAGAAACAATCAACCTGATCAAACGCTCGGGAACGGGTTCACGAAGTATTTTGCACGCAGTCGATTTTTTTTTTCCTCAACCGTTACGCGAAGTCAAGGGGAGACTAGAAATGGTAGAAATCCTAGCTAACGTCGTCTGTGGTGGACTGCACTGCCGTCTCAGTCTGCTTACTGCTAGCCAGTCGTAGCCCGTCGCCGACGTTCCTGATGGCTGATAATAATAATAATGAGAATGACAGCGATGAAAAAAAAACACACACGCACACGAACACGGACTACCTACTTATCACGGTTCAATAAGACCGTCGTCGAATTTGTTTTGCCGGTAGATCGCAGCCGCCTCGTCATATGTGGACGATGTCCTAATAATAATAGGTATTATAATACGAAATGTAATTTGGTGGCGGTGGTTGTGTGAGTGGTAATCGTCGTCGTATTCGTACGGCGCAAACGGACGGACAGTTGCAACTTGCAATGCTCTCCGTTTCCCGCTTATGGACGAGTACGAAAGGACGAAAGGCGAAAAATTATGTTTGGGGAGGTTTCGAGACAAGATTCTGTTTGCGACTCACGTCTCAGTGTCTCACTATAGTCACTCACTGGCCACTATGACTTGYGAGTAGTTGTGACTGTTCCGCAGTGGGGTTTAGCACTTTCCCACCCGTTCGCAGGCGCGAAAATATTTCCTAACCATTTTGCGCTTGCGCTCACGGGGTCATGGTCGAGTTTTCCCCACCCCCGACAACCTTCACGGTTATCACTCAAATGTCTCAAATCCCGCCCGACTGATAAAGTGATAACCAAAAATCGTTTCTCCGAGACCGGAAACGCCAACTTCACAGTTCCGGTAATTGGACTTCATCTTCATGTTAATACATTTTTTCGACTCGCAAGTCTCGCACTTTGTAGTCGATCTTTATTGGTGTTTTTGAATTTCGGACGAAAGTTATTGTCCCATGGTAATTGACGATTGATGAACTCACATAATCACGTAACGTGGCGGAGATAGACGAGTAAACAACGCTTTAAATAGTAAACTTTCATAACGATGGTTCGAACTGCTATTTTGTCCAGATCCAGTTATCGACTATGTAAGCGATATGTGGCTGAAAAGGTAACGACTAAATATGTTTTAAATCCTAAGCAGAGCGATGAGTTTATTGATTTTATAATGATGTGTGTGTTTTTTGTTTTTGTATACACGATAAGTAGACAAGTAATCGAAATAATGCTTTGATTTTAAACTCAATACCTACATACATCGAAAGGAAGGTGAATATTGTTGGTGAATTCAGGTTGTAGGTATAAGGGAAACTTAGAACTTTTACTCAAAATCTATTTTAGTTCTTGAAGTGACTTTCAAAAAAATTACTGTAGATAAGTACATGTAATTTTCGCTAAATATTTATATTGGTATTTTATAGACATCATACGATTTTCAAAATATTTTGACTCTTGTTGAACTATTTTTAGGCATTATATAATTTTTGAAAAACTTGTAATTGTGTTACAAGGTTCCTTGAAAGWCTCATTGAAAGTTGTTGTTTGTGGGAATTTAAAAAAAAGTTGAGCGTAAATACAAAATAATTTTTTATGAGTGTCTGAAGTTGGAATTAAAATACTAATTAAAACATTTTTTGTAGGTACCTATTTAAAACTTTACAGTATAAAATGATATAAAAAAAAAATATGATAATATGTAAATAATATTACTTCAACCTACCGGCTACTGTGTTAATAATAATAAAATTTAAAATATACTTAACTGAAAAACCGTCTTCATTCAGAATCATTTTCCTTTACAATTTTTATTATATCATTTAATTCAAATTTAATACTATCCATTAAAATGACCCATTTGTAACCTACAACTGTATAGGTGTATAGCAGAGTGTCACCCACTTACTTTTTTGTCTTTTATTTAAAAAAAATCAATACATTTTATAAAATCATTGTTGGAAAAATGTAACTTGAGAATAATTAATTTTAAGTTAAAAAGTATGCTTCTAATCTGTTTATTGAGCAATTCAGATAATATGTTTAATACCCTGTTATATACAATATACTCACATACATAACTAGTGCCCTAGACTTTATCATTTAATATTTATTTTATTTTTGTAAATACTTTTATCATTGGAAAATTTACTGCCAATTTCATATTTAACTAATATGTGTTTGCCCAAAAAGTTATGTGTCAGATAAAAAAGAAAAAAAAATTATTTTCCAATTGTTAAAATTTTAGTAAAAACGATAATTTTTGTAAACAACTAATATAATATTTTTTTTTTTTTAATGTGTATATTCTATTGAATTTGTTTGATATTTTGGTGAATTAAATTTTGATTTTAAAATGTTTCAGGTTGCCTGCGCAATTAATAAAAATTCAAAAGATGTAGTAAATGATTTCATAGCTAATCTGAAAATAGGAAAAGTAAATTCTATGAACGATATTGGTTTTCACATGCCTCTTAATATTCTTCAAAAATATTTTGGAACAAATCCATTAATAGATTTTAAAATACCAAGTCACGAAATAACAACTTCTCAATTAAATCCACAACATTTAATAATACATTTAAATAAACATGAGTTTATTAACGACATACTTAAAAATAATATTGATATAACTTGTCAACATTGTATACAGAATTCTAAACCTTCCATCATTGATTTTAGGTAATTGGTAAGTTTAATATAAATAATATAATTACTTTAAAGTCACTGATCATTATATAAAATTAACACATATTTCACTCATTACAGTTCTCCAAACATTGCAAAGCCATTTCATGTTGGTCATTTACGTTCAACTATTATTGGAAACTTTATTTCTAACTTAAAAAATTTTATCAATGGCCGTGTTATACGCATTACCTACTTGGGTGACTGGGGACCTCAGTTTGGTTATACCCTACTAGGATTAGAACAAATGAAACCAGATATGTCTAATAACGATATGACAATAGAATCTTTACACAATGCGTACATATTAGCCAATCAAATGGCAAAAAATGACTCGAGCATTCATAATAAAGCTAAATCTATATTTAAAGATTTAGAGTGTGGTAATTCTACCTCTGATATTATTAACTTATGGAATGAATTTAGATCAATCACTATTAATGAATTAGAAGTTATTTATAAGAGATTGGGAATAGTCTTTGATGAATATGAGTGGGAATCAAAATATTCAAAAGAAAAAATTCAAGATGTTCTAGATCAGCTCAATAAAATTGGCTTATTAAAACGTAAAGAAGATGGATCTACTGTTGTGCTTTCTAATAATCAAGAAATCACAATTTTAAAAAACGATAACTCTACATTATACCTCACACGAGATATTGCTGCAGCACTTAAACGCCACAAATGTTATGGTGCTGAAGATTTATTTTATGTTGCTGATAATACTCAAGGCAAACATTTTTACTTACTAAAATCCATAATTGCACAAATTAATTCAAATATAAATGTGCATCATATTCCATTTGGAAGGATACATGGTATGAGCTCAAGAAAAGGCGAGGGAATATTGTTAAATCAACTTCTAAATCAGGCAAAATTCACTATGAACTTGAAAAGAAAATATTCTGAAAGTTGGTATAAATATAATATGGTAATAATTAGAGTTAAAAACTAATTGCTCATATATGTATACAAATATATGTTTTTCTGCAATGGTTATAAAATATCAATTCATATTTTGAAATTTTTTAATTACAAAGATTAGGTAACATACTTGTGCATATTTTAGTATATTTTACAAAAACT